AGGGACGTCATGCTTGGAAGGGTGGAAGGACAGCACAGGAGAGGAAGACCCTCAATGAGATGGACTGATTCAGTGACTGGGATAATGAGGGTAGATTTGTCAGAAACAATGAGGTTGGCACAGGATAGAGCAGGTTTCAGTGCTATTGTACACAGGATCACTATGAGTCACAAACAACTTGATGTAACCTAACAAGAAGAACAACGTGTTGTAAATCCTAACATCTATGAAGTTAGAGGCAAGATTATAACTAGTTCAATAATGATATTATCATCCTGATATGATGGGAAGTCTGCTCAGGGTGTGGCCTGCACTGAATATATGTATGAACTCTCTCTCAGAACTAAACATTTTTCTTCCCCAATCCTGCATCTAGCTTACTTGCTGCCTTTGGGCTTGAACCAGCAGCCTGACTGACTGGCCAGTGTTGGATTAGTCAGCCTCTGAATTCAGCAGTCTGTTGAATTTCTTTGGATTCATCCACTGCTCCCTGCCCCAAGACACTTTTTTTCTTTCAGCATGTACCTGGAACTTGCTGGCCTCTACAACTTGACTGCCTCTACAACCATATGAACCATTTTTTTATTAATATGTCTCTATACTATATATCTCTATATATTTACATCTACATACACATATCTAGATACATACACACACATTTAGGTGAAGATCACTCAGCCTCTATTCAGCCTCCCTAGCCCCACAGCCTCAGGTGGCCTCTTCACCTCTCCCCACCTTCCTGCCTCCTGCAAAAGATTTCCCATGCATCTTTGGGATCTTTCTTGTCCTCTACCTGCACATGTGCAACCTCGGGTCCACCATTCCCCTGGGCCCTTCATAGCCAAATTGAGATGTTGTGGATAAACAGGGAAAAAGCATCCTGCAACTTGTCAGCTGCTGACCTGCATGTGGCCTGGTTGTCACCAGAGCATTCATTACATCATTCAGATGGTCTGGCTGCAGATCCATATTGAGCTTGGACCAGTGGAAGCACTGCCTGAGAAATTTTTTTTAAGTTGTAAATGCAAAATGTTGAATAACAGCTTGTTGGTGAGTAGTTGTATGTTATATACGGGGTGAAGGGGGATGTAGGGGCATTGTATACCAATGAAGGAATTTTTCTTTTACTTTTCAAGGAAAAGAGTGAACTGGGGAAGGGGGGTGGGGAGAAAAGTACAACAATGAATGACTGGAAATCTAAAATCTCTGTAAATGTTCACTGAAATTAATAATAATAATAAAAGAACCCCAGTAAGTTTACTAAAATGATTTTTTCAAAACCCCTTATTTGAAATACAACACAAGAACTCTACTATTAATCTTATGAGTCCAGCAACATCACATACCATTCCATTTTCATTCTTATTTCATGTCATATACATGGAACCCACTGCTGTCTCAGTAATAAAATTTGAGTATAAGCATTTGTGTTATTATTTTTTTATTACTGGTGATACACAGAGAATGTTCTAGGTATGTAGCAAGCATAGAATAATTAAAGGTGACAGGAAAGATATGAAACTCAGCTTAGTTTGAAAATTCCAAGTTAGAAGTCCCTATATTGTTTCTTATAGTGAGTAGGGTAAAGAAGTTTGAAAATAAAATTGCTCTGAGTCAGGTCCACCCAGATTTGAGAGTAAAAAAGAAACAGAAAATGAACCATTATTTAAAAACAGTCGGCGAGCTCTGGTGGCCTAGTGGCAAGAAGCTGCAACTACAGTCTCAGAGGTGCACGGTTCAGATCCACCAGATGCTCTGCTGGAGAAGGAGGAACAATCTCCTCCTGTACCAGTCAGATCTGATTTGATGGTACACACAAAATATAATGAAATAAAAAAAAAACTGTCAGAATTCAAATTCTTGTTAGATATATTATCACTAAACTGTCAGTGTCAGAGTTAATACTAGCACAGTTCAATGACTTATTTTTACTTGATCAAAAGCCCAACATTTTATGTTCCCCATGACTCTGCTTTGAAAAATAAATTTTAGTTGATCTTCAAGAGGAACTGTCTTAAATAACATTAAAAACACTAATACAACTGCAATCCCAGAAGTACGCGGTTCGAATCCACCAGATGCTCTGCTGGAGAAGGAGGGGCAATCTCCTTCTGTACCAATCAGATCTGATTTGACGGTATACACACAAAAAATAATTTAAAAAATTTTTAAAAATGTAAAAACACTAATACAAAACTATTTTATACTTTAAGCATTAATGTTTATGGTCAGATAATATAGTTATACTAATAATATAAAACATCAATATAAAACAACAGATAACTTTATTTCTCTGCATTGTTGTTGTTGTTGTGTAACAAAGAGTTGACACTGAACCATAGCTAACCTTCTGGTGGGTTTTCAGAGGAAGTTAATCACCTCTTAAAGGAAGGAGATTGCCCATCCTTCTGCAGAGCAGCTGGTGGCCTTGAACTGCATGCCTTTGGGATTGCAGCACACCTTCTTACCACTAGGCCATCAGAGCTCCCTTTGGGAATAACACAATAATACACAAGTTCACGTGGTGAGAAGAGACATCTTGTTTCAGTAGCTCAATTGCCAGGGTTCCTTCTCATTTTTATCACTGAAGTTGTTGTTAGATGCCATCAAGTCATCTACAACTCACAGAGAACCTATGAACAAAAGATCTGGCCCTATCCTGTGTCATTTTCATGATGTTACAGAAGAGGTACAGAAAATTGCCAATGAGTCCCAGACATACAGTTTATATACTGTCATATATATATATAGTAGGCTGAAAATAAGTTGAATGAAAATAATCAGTGATTCACATTTATATTAATACTTTCTTAAAAATAATTAGCAGTTAAAGACTGTGAGTTCTCTTAGGTACTAACAAAAAAAGCCACAAGGGAAAAAGACTGAGATAATTTAGGGACTAAATGAGCCATATTGTAGGCTCCTTGAAATACAATTCAATATAATTTTTGCTATATAAATAAATCATTAGTAGCATAGTTGTTGTATATCACTCTATCCTCTGGCACTATGAACAATTGTGCAGCAAGTTTGTATGCAGGTTTGTATTGCACTGCTAACCCAAAGGCTACACATCTCTAGCAGTTCAAGTCCAGTGCCTCTGAGAGAAAGATAGGCAGTCTCTTCTCCTTACAATGAATTCCTTAGAAACTGGATAGAGGGTCACTTAAATCCGACTTTATGGCAGTAATTACAAGCTTAAAGCAATGAAATTTAAAACCAGAAGAAAAATTCATAAAGCATACCATGACCATCAGATCCTTCCATTGATTTTAATGTGTTTCTTGTTTGTTCTAGCTCAGACTGTGCTGATTTTAGTTGCATTTTTAGCTTATTTGTAGTAGATTCCATTTCTTCAGTTTTGTTTCTAAAATTCCTTTTTAAGACTTCATAGTCCTCTACACAAATACAATAATCAATACAAACGGTTACTTTTTCTATCTCACTGTTACAAAATATATTTTAATTCTAACTAATAAACACAGAATTTTAGAGTTGGAAGCCTATTTACATTGTTAAAATCTTCAGTTGTTACAGAAATCCTATGTATATACACATTTCTAGGGATCTAATACTTCCATTTAGTTTGCTTAGGTAAATTCTCCCCATCTATTGTCTATTATTTTTTTAGCCATTGTAACTGATACACATCTCTTTAATTTTAAACTTTTTCTCTGATTAGCCATATCCACCACACAAGATCCTAAAAGAACTTTGCAACTCTTCAAAGAATAATGCTGTCAGTGATAGGGTAATTGCCATGTCCAAAAGAGAAAGACCTCTTAATAAGACCATTATTTAAATATACCAACTAACAACTGTAGAAAAAGAAGAAATTGAAGATTTCTACCAACCTTCATAGCCTGAAATGAATCAAACATGTAATTATTGTTGTTGTGTACCACTGAGTTGGAATCAACCCACAGCTGACCTTCCAGCAGATTTTCAGAGGCAGTAAATCATACAGGAGGAGACTGTCCATCTTTTGCCTGCAGAGCAGCTGGTGGATTTGAACTATGTAGCTCTGTATTGGCATAATACCTTACCACTAAGTCACTAGAGTACAAAAAGGCAATTATGATATATTAATAATTATTTATGACTGGAATGCAAAAGCTGGAAACAAAGAAAGAAAGTTGGTTGTTGGTAAATAAGGCCTTGGTGACAGAATGAGCCTGTAGAATAGAATTATAAGAGTTAATTTTGTACAGTAACAGTGACTATACACATGGAGTTTGCTGATAGAACATACTAGAGTTAAAATGACTACATCATGGGAATGAGACGTGGGGAAGCCCAGTATCAGCAGTCAGAACAAGGCATAAAGCGACTGTGGAACAGATCATTAACTGAACATATACATCTCAAACTGAAGCTGAAGAAAATGAAAACAAGTTTAGAAGAACCAAAATGTGACCCTGAGTTTATCCCATCTGAATTTCTAAACTGTCTCAAGAACAGATTTGATTCATTAAAAAGTGTGGGATGGATAGAGGAAAAAAATGTGGGGTGACATCAAGGATATCATATGCAAAGAAAGCTAAAGATTATAACAAAGGCAGGATAAAAAGAAAGAAAGATCAACACAGATGTCAGAAGAGATTCTCAAATGTACCCTTGAATGGAGAGAAGTTAAAGGTAGATGAAAGACATGATGAAGAAGGATAGCTGAACATAACAAAAAACAGCTTGAGAAGACAAAGTAAAATTGAAACATGGAAAGACTTGGAATTAGAAAATAAAATTAGAAGAAAAAAAAACTGCTTGGCATTTCTCAAACTTAAAGAACTGATGAACAAATTTAAGCTATGAGTGACAATAATGAAGGGTTCTATAGGCAAAATATTGAGCAGTCCAAGGATTATATATTTTTTAAAAAATGAAGGAATACACAGAATCACTGTACCAAAAAGAGCTGTTTAAACAATTAAGGAAGTAGCATATGATCAAGAACCAGTGTGCTGAAGATGGTCCAGTCTGCAGTGAAGGCACTGACAAAAAGCAAGGCCGTAAGAACTGATGGAGAAGTAATTGAAGTGTTTCAGCAAACAGATACAGCCCCAGACACGTTCACTAGTCAATGTCAAGAAAGCTGGAACCTTGCCACATGACTGGATTTGATACAATAAAAAAGTTATCCAACAGAATATACACATTATCAAAAATATAGATGTCTTGCTTCAGATTAATAAAAAACAGCTGGAATAGTACATTGATAGGAACTGCCAGAAAGTCAATCTGGATTTAGATGAGGTTCTGGTATGAGGTATGTGGTATCTGTCACTGCCGATGTCCGACAGGTCTTGACTGAAAGTGGAGAATATAGGATGATACTTACTTGTAAATTGTTGATTATGCAAAGGCATCTAACCATGTGGATTACAACAAATTACGGATCGTGCTTATATGGAACTTGAACCGAGAAGCAGTTATTTGAACAGAAAAAGGGAACAATGTGTGGTTTAAAATCAGGAAAAGTATGCACCAGGGTTGTATACTTTTTCCATTCTATTCAATACATACACTGAGTAAACAATCTGAGAAACTGAATTACATAAGAAGAATGCAGCATCTGTATTTGAAGACTCAACAACCTAAGTTATGCAAATGACACAACCTTGCTTGCAGAAAGTGAAGGAGTCTTGAAGTATTTATTGAATAATATCATAGACCACTAAGTTCAGTATAAACCTCAGCATCAAGAAAATAAAAATCCTCATAATGGGACCAATAGGCAACATCATGATTGTTGTTGTTGTTGTTGTTTACCAACAAGTTGGAGCTGACCCTCTGGGGGCTTTCAGAGACAGTTAATAACATGTAAGGAGAATGTCCACCCTTCTCCCACAGAGTGGACTCAAGCTCTGTGCCTTCAGGATTGCAGTGCAGCTTCTTGCCAACAGGCCACCAGTGCTTCTTTATATAGCCTCCCTCATATATAGCCTCCCTCATGTCTAGCCTCTAGGGGTGGGTTAAAGAAAATATGGAAGTTGTTAAGGATTTCATTTTACTTGGGTCCACAATCAACACCCATGGTAGAAATAGTAAAAAATTAAAAGATGTATTACATTAGGCAAATCTGCTGACAAAGACAGAAATGTTAAACAGGAAGGATACTCGTTCAAAAACTAAAGTAGAACCTGAACCAAATTAAGATACTTTCAAGTGCTTCATAGGGAGTGATACTTTCAAGTGCTTCATAGGGAGTTCTGGTAGACTAGTGGGTAGGGAGTTGCACTGCCAACCCAAAGGTGAGGTCTGAATCCACCAGCTACTCTTGCCTCCAAGAAGAAACCTGGTTTCACCCTCTCCAGGATGAACCTGTTTGTTCTTCTAGCAGTCCATGGAATATTCAGTACTCCTCTCCAGCACCACGGCTCAAAGACATCAATTCTCCTTCTATCATCCCTAGTCATGGATGATGAAAAGAACAAACAAGTCTGTGTTGGAAGAAGTGCAGCCAATAAAGTCAAGGACAAAGTCTCACATACTTTGAGCAGGATGTTGTCAGGAGAGCTAGTCCCTGGATAACAACATCATGAAGAGTTAGAGGAGGAGAATAAAATCCCTCCATGAGATGAATTGACACAGTCACTACAACAATGGGCACACACACAGAAGAAATGGTGAGGATGCAAGAGTATTGGGCAAGTTTTTCATCTCTTGCACATAGTGTTGCTGTGAATCAGAGTTCCTTTAGCAGCACCTAGCAACAAGTTTTAATTCTCTTTCAAAACAGTACAGCTACAATTTTCTATAGGAAATACAGGTGCAGCCTCATACTCAACACTTCTACGACAGTCACTATTCGACGTATCCTTACATCCACTTGTAGCTCCCCCACTATATTGTACCTACTACTGTCAAGCCAGTTCCAAATCACAGTGAATGAAGAACCTCCAACAGAGTGCAGAAATTATTGAACAATATCATTAATATCACATGCAAACAAGATTTTGCTGAAAATTATCCAAAAACGTTTGGAATAATATGTCAACAGAGAACTGCCAGATGTGCAGACTGGATTTAGAAGAGGTTGTGGTACTAGGGATATTATAGCTAATGTTAGATGGATCTTGGCAGAAAGCAGAGAATACCAGAAGAATGTCTATCTGTGCCTCAGTGACTATGCAAACGCTTTTGACTGTGTGGATCACAACAAGCTATGGCTGACTCTGAGAAGAATGGGAATCCCAGAATATTTGATTGTGCTTATACAAAATCTATACTTGGACCAAGAGGTAATCGTCAGAACAGAGCAAGGAGACACTACATAGTTCAAAATCAAGAAGGGGGTCCATCAGGGATGTATTCTGTCTCCGTACATTTTCAATCTGTATGCAGAACAGATCATCCGAGACGCTGGGCTGTATGAGGAGGAATGTGGCATCAGTATTGGTGGAAGAGTCATCAACAACCTGCGTTATGCAGATGACACAACCCTGCTTGAAACTGAGGAGGATCTGAAGCTCTTGCTGCAGAAGGTCAAGGACTGCAGCCTTCTATATGGATTGAAGCTCAACATCAAGAAAACAAAGATTCTCACCACTGGGCCAATTGGCAGCATCAGTATGGATGGTGAAGAGATTGAGATAGTTAACAGTTTTAGTTTACTTGGCTCCACAGTCAACACTCTTGGTACCAGCAGCCAGGAAATCAAGAGATGAACTGCACTGGGAAAGTCAGCTGTGAGAGACCTCTCAAGAGTACTAAAGAGCAACGACATCAGGCTGGAGACTAAGGTGCACCTGATCTGGGTTATAGTCTTTGCAATTATGTGCTATACATTGGAGAGTTGGACAGTGAATAGGAATGATAGAAAGAGAATTGATGCCTTTGAGCTGTGGTGCTGGAGAAAAGTGTTGAATACACCATGGACTGCTAGGAGAACAAACAGGTTTGTCCTAGAGAAGGTGAAGCTGAAATGCTCCTTGGAGTCAGGGATTCTGAAGCTTCGTCTGACATATTTTGGGGATGTTGCAAGGAGGGACTAGTCCTTGGAGAGGGACATCATGTTTGGCAGAGTAGAGGGGTGGCGCAGGAGAGGAAGACCTTTGATGAGATGGATCGATTCTGTGCCTGGAGTGGTGGGAATGAGTGCTTTTGAGATGGCTCATTTGGCACAGGATAGAACGGTGTTTAGGGCTGTTGTACATAGGGTCACTATGAGTTGCAAGCAACTCGATGGCACATAACAACAAGAAGTCTTTATGAGAGAAGACTTCTCATTTTTCTCCATGGAGTGACTGCTGTTGTTAGATGCCACTGAGTCAGTACTAATCTGTAATGCTGTCCTATTCTGTGCTAAACTCACCATGTGATGTGCTTGAGCTCAGTATTACAGTTACTATGTCAATTCATCTTGTTAAGGGTCTTTCTCTGACCTTCCATATTTATCTTTGCCTCTTTGCCTGGTTGTACTACCTCCAAGACAGGTTTGTTTATTCTTTTGGCAGTACAGGGAATAGTCAGTATTCTCTAACATCAAAACTTCAAGGAATCAATTGTTCTTCTGTCATCCATCATTGTTCCAACTTTTAGATGGATATCAAGTAACTAAAAAGACTGTGGCTTTGATAAGGCACACCTTAGACTTTAAAATGACATTCTTGCTCTTTGGCACTTTGGAGAGGTCCCTGACAGGAGATTTTCCCAATATAACACCTCTTTTGATTTCTCGAGAAGCTTGCTAGAAGTTAAAAGGACTGGAAACACTTGATGCGTAAGTCTTCACTATGGATTGCATCTCAACATCAAGAAAACAAAAATTCTCACCATTGGAACAAAAGGCAGCATCATGATAGATGAAGAGAACACGGAAATTGTCAACAATTTCATTTTACTTGGATCCATAACCAGCACCCATTTTTTAACAGCAGTCAATGGAGTGACTAGTGGATTAAAAGTGCTAAATTTTTTTATAGCAGCCAATACTTTATTGACTCTTCAGCACTCTTAACGGTGTTGTAAACCATTCCCTTTACCCCTTCTGTATCTCCAACTAGACACTGAGCTTTGTTATTCTGTTTCCAGGGCCCAGCAAAGCATTTGGCATAGATAGTAAATTCTAAGAATCATTGACTCTGTGTATAGAACATAAATGACGCCTATATGGAAGCAGGAGTGGGAGCCACTTCCTAAACAACAGGCCTCCAGAAAAATCTATGAACTTTGATAAATGCTGATAGTTGTAGAGGGGCTTCAGGCCTTTTGTTCATAGGATTGCTCAACTCGAAGGCAATCCATAATAGCAACATATGATACGTAAGCATTTGAGGTGCTTCATTTTATAATTTAAAGGACTTGGATTTTTCTTTCAAGAAACTTGCTTAAATCTGTTTACACATGTTGTTTCATTATTAAATCACTGATGAACTATTCTGACTTACTGGTTTACTTCACCATTCTATTGGAAACTCCCACGAAATTTTATGGACTAGGAGGCCCTGACGGCACTGTCTGCAATGAATTGTGCTGCCAGCCCAAAGGATGAGCACCTCTACAGGTGCAAATCTACCAGTGGCTCAGCAAAAGAAAAAGGAAGAGTCTTTTCCTGTTATGATTTACGGCCTCAAAAACCTGATGGAGGGTCACTATGAATTGGAACCAATGGATGGGAGTGAGTTTGCATTTTTGAAGGCTAAATAAAACTAATGGTTAAGGATGTTAAGATAGTGGAGGCTCTTCATGGAGAACTACCAGGATTTCAGACCATTAACAACTACTGGGTCAGTATAACCATAAAGGAGGCGAATGAAGTACTAGAAGCCATGTTAAATTTCACTGATAATACTCCTAGTTTTCAGTAGATTTTTGAACTGAAGTCACATACCTGACAGACTATTTAATTCATTTCTAGTAGTTTTCACCTCATTTACTAACTGGTCTCTCTCTTGCTTCAGGTCCTTCACTGCACGGAGCCGCTCGGAGCCTGCATTCACCAGCTTGACCTTTTCCAGCTCTAGGTCACTCACTCTGACTTCAAGCTCCCGGATCTTTGCATCTTTTTTCTCTTTTAAAATCTAAATATATGGACAAATGCAATGAATTTTAAAAAGAAAGAATAAAACCGGTATATGTACAAATACAATGGATTAGTATCTCATTTTATTTAAGTGAGCTCTGGTGGCCTAGTGGGTAAAGAGTTGTGTTGCTGACCCAAAGGAAGATGGTTCAAATTCACTAGCTTTTCTGTGGGAGAAAGATAAGCAGTCTCCTCTCGTGCAATTTATAGCCTCCAAAAACCTGCTGAAGGGTCAGCTATAAGTTGTCTCAAACTCAACAGCATGTAACATCATCATATTTATTTAGTATCTTGGCTATTTCCTTTGACACTAAATTTGTATTCTAGTTGAAAGCATTGATAAATTCTTTGGGGAAAGATTTCTTTTAATCTTTTCTATCACTCCCTATCATCACTTGCCACAACTCTTCATGATTCCTATACATTTATTTATTAAAAAGTCTACTGATCACCTAATTTGGGCCAGGCACTACCGCATATATTAGGACAAGTGAGGATGAGGGTGAATCAAGTGAGGTATGTTGGTGAGAACAAGGTTGAAATAATTGAGACAAGTGGATGAGGGCTCCTTAACTTTTGGCCCACATCTCCCTATTCCTGACCCTGTATAGCAGTGAATTTTTTAAAAACCCACAAAAAATCAAACAACCCTCACTTCCAAAAATCCTTTCTTTTGTTTGTTTTGTTTTTTTCTCTTCATATTTCTTTTTTTTAAATTTTTTTAATTTTAATGAACACTTACAGAGATTTTGGAGGACATTACACTGAGTGAAATATCTCAGTCACAAAAGGACAAATATCACATGGTGCCGCTGCTGTAAAATAGGACTGATATCAGGGTTGTGGTAAGACTGAGAAAAACTGGATAAATTGTGTATATTGCACTGAAACAGATGAGGGAGAGAATAATTTAAAAGCGATGTATGATAGGATATTATGGTTATCTTAAGAGTCCACAATTAAGGTTGCATAGTGGAATGTACTTGGGGCAGTGGGATGAGTGCAGGGGGATTGTGTACTAGGGAGAGAGTGTTTATTTTACTTTTGAAAGAGAGGAGTGAACTGGGGTAGGGGGTGCTGGGAAGGGAGAGAAGTGCAGCAATAAATGAAAGGAAATCCAAAATTCTACTTTCTAATGGGAGCAGACAGGCAACGAACATTTACTACAAGATGTGTTTGTGATAAGAAGAATAGAAAAAGAAGGAAATAAGAGTGTGAATAGGAAGTAGATGCTATTTAAGTTGGTGCATAGAAAAAGAACTGACATATGAGGACTAAGCTTGCTAACTGAGCTTGCAGAATGGCCTGCAAGGCTAGTCTTTGGCTGATGTCTGCAACTTCAATTTGGGGACGTTTTCAACCATTATAACTAATCAAGAGTGGTGAAATGTGCCTAAAACATTTATGCCAAACATATGATTTATGCTGAACACCTGCTGCACTTCTGGCTGTCTGGAATTTGGAGATACACTAGGTAGGAAGTACCTACATGACCAGTCCCCAACATAAATCCTGAGCAGAATCTCTAATAAGGTTGCCTGGTTGATAGCATTCCGTGTGCTGTCTCAACTGAATGTTGAGGGAATTAAGCAAGTTTTGTGTGTCTCTACTGAGAGAGGTCTTAGGAAGTTTGTTTCTAATTTTCTCTGGACTTCACCCCAAATGCCTCTTCTCTCTTCTAATTTTCCTGTATCATTTTGCTGTAGTATATCATCATTTCTGCATGGTTCAAAATTGGGAATGGCGTACGCCAGGGATGCATCCTATCTCCATACCTTTTCAACCTATATGCAGAACAGATTATCCGGGAGGCTGGGCTCTATGAGGAGAAATGTGGGGTCAAGATTGGTGGATGATTTATCAACAATCTGTGTTATGCGGATGACACAACCCTGCTTGCTGAAACTGAAGAGGACCTGAAGCGCCTGCTGCAGAGGGTCAAGGACTGCAGCCTCCAATATGGATTGAGGCTCAATGTCAAGAAGACAAAGATTCTCACCACTGGACCAATTGGCAGCATCAGGATGAATGGTGAAGAGATTGAGATTGTACACAGCTTTAGTTTGCTTGGCTCCATAGTCAACAGTCTTGGCACCAGCAGCCAGGAAATTAAAAGGCGCATTGCCATGGGAAAGTCTGCTGTTAGGGACCTCTCCAAAGTGTTGAAGAGCAATGGTGTCTCTTTGAAGACTAAGGTGTGTCTGATACAGGCCATGGTCTTCACAATCACCTGTTATGCATCAGAGAGTTGGACAATGACCAAGGAGGATAAAAGGAGAATTGATGTCTTTGAGCTGTGGTGCTGGAGAAGAGTATTGAGAATACCATGGACTGCTAGGAAAACAAATAGATTTGTCCTGGAAAGGGTTAAACCGGGTGGCTCCTTGGAGGCAAGGATTCTGAGGCTCCGTTTAACATACTTTGGACATGTTGGGAGGAGAGACCGGTCCTTGGAGAGGGACATCATGCTTGGGAGGGTGGAGGGACGGCGCAGGAGAGGAAGGCCCTCTATGAGGTGGATTGATTTAGCGATTGAGATAATTGGGATGGGAGTGTCGGAGACAGTGCGATTGGCACAGGACAGAGCGGAGTTTAGGGCTGTTGTACATAGGGTCGCTATGAGTTGCAGGTGACGCGACGATACATAACAACAACAACAACATATCATCATTATGGGTACAATTTATAATCTGAATCCCTAGAGTCTTCCTGATGCAATAATGTTTAGTTTGATGTTAGTTTGAGGACTAAGGTGTGCTTGATTCAGACCATTGTTTTTTTAATAACTTGCTGTGCATTTGAGAGGTGGACAAAGAATAAGGATGACAGAAGAACTGATGCCTTTGAGTTGTGCTGTTGGAGAAGAGTACTGAATATTCCATGGATTGTCAAAAGAAAAGACAGGCATGTTTTGGAGAAGGTGCGGCCGGAGTGCTTCTTGGAGGTAAGGATGATGTGTTTTGTTTCATATACTCTGGATATGTTGCTTAGAGAGGCTATTCTTGAAGAAAGACATCATGCTTGAAAAGGTGGAGGGACAGCAAAGGAAACGACAACCCTCAACCTGGTAGACTGACACAGTAACTGCAGCAATGGGATCAAGTGTGTCAGAGATTGTAAGGATGGCACAGGATAGGTCAGGGTTCAGATCTGTTGTTCATAGGATCGTTATCAGTTGTACTTAACTAAACGGCATCCAGCAACTTAACAATATGAGCATAATTTATAAGCTGAGTGTCTTCCTAGTGCATCACTGAACCTTGGGGATCCCAACATAGTTGGTCAAGGAAAGCCTTGCTGATTCAGCAAGATCATCAAGAGTATGCTCTTTGAATAGCTGGGGAGGAGAGGGGAGATAGGGTGATTCTAGTAAAATAAGTGTCTTAAGTGCAGCTGACAGTATGAGTGATGTGAAGTGAAGATGGTGGAAGATGGGCAAGAAGAGTAAAGTGATCTTACAGGCAAGGAAAGAACTCAAGATTTAATTTTGGATTAGAAGCTACTAGACAGTTTTCAGTAAGGTTCAATAAGGGAGTGACAAAATGTAATGTTTTAAATATGTAACATGCTTAAATATGTAAAGAATAAGTATTGATAGGACAGGGGGAAGAGTGGAAGCAAAGTGATCAATATAACTGTAAAAGCAAGTGCAAGATTTGGTGGATCCAGATGTTGGGTTTGGCTCTAGTTCTTTGAATAGGGTTGTTATGTATCATAGTTGGAACCAACTCAAAGCTGACCCTCTGGTGGGTATTCAGAGGCAGTAAATCACACAGGAGGAGACTGCCCATCTTTCTTCTGCAGAACAGTTGGTGGATTTGAACAGCATGATTTGGAGTCAGCAGCTCAATTCCTTAATGCTAAGCCACCTGAGCTCCTTAAGTACAAAGTATGAGTAAAAGAATGTGAATTTTGCACTTCAAACTAACTGCCAAAAATTCCTAGCTAGATATGCTTCTGCAAAGTCTGACTTAATCATCCTTATTTCTTCCCACAGCGGCTTGTCCACTTTTGCTTTTCTCCATTAGGTATGCTACCATTTTCCCAAGTCTCTCAGACACTTAAAATCAAAGCCTCTGTGTCTTCTGTATCGTTTTTCTCTCTACCCCTTATGACCCCTATCATCAACTCCTCGCCAGCCTTCACATTTGATTTATTCTCATAACTGGTTTCTATTTATGTTGGTGAGGTTCCTATTGTGAACTCATCTCTTCCAAGGACCCAAACTTGTATAATCTAGTACAGAGTTCACATTTGACTACTGAGAAACATGGCTAGTCTAAATTGATATGTGCTGAGAGTATAAAAAACACACTAGTTCACAAAGATTGAAAAAAAAATAAAAAAGTACGTCAAATATCTCAAAAACTTTTTACACTGATTACAATATAAAGCCCAACTTCTTGTCATCGAGTTAGAACCATCTCAAAGTTGAACACTCCAGCAAGTTTTTCAGAGGCTGTAAATCACATAAGGAAATAATGCACATTTCCCCGCCCCATGAAGCAGCTTGTTGATTTGAATTGCCAAAGAGGTGAAGCCTTTGGGCTAGCAGTACAACACTGTACAGACTTCTAGTAGACCACTAGAGCTCCCTTAATATTAAAAAATCTATCAATTGGATACCCAGCATTAGATATTTATGAAAATCAACTTCACCTTTAGCTTCCTTTTGGGTTTGTTTGGTTTCTTTAAAATTAATTTTAATGACAGTTTACAGAGACTTTGGATTTCCATTCATTCATTGTTGCACACTTTCCTCCCTGCCCACCCCTCCCCCCAGTTCACTTTTCTCCTTGAAAAGTAAAAAAAAAAAAGAATTCTTTCATTGTTATACAATTAATTCCCCTCTCCCTCCAGTTCACTTTCCTCCTTGAAAAAGAAAAAAAAAAAAGAATTCTTTCATTGTTATACAATTCTCTCCCCCAGTTCACAACTCAGTTTTCATTCTGGACTCTTGTCATGACAATAATACCTAATCATATATCCCTTTTAAAC